GAGGCTGTAGTTCACACTACTGTAGTTCCTAGTCAATCAGAACTCATTGATCCTGGTAGGATTATTTAGTTATTGATTTGCTTTCAGTAGCTCTGCTCTGCTCTTTAGGCCTGATTTGGTTGTATAACCTCCAAACACAATATTGGCTGTTGAGTAGACCTTCATTCCCAAGAAGTTCTCCCTTACGAAAGTACATTGAGATACTTCCAGTATTCAACCCAGTGGAATTATTGTTCACCTAGGCTGCATGGCTACATTTTAAATCTGATATCAGACTAATGGGGAATGATTCTAACTCAGGTACTATGCTGAAGTCTTGTTCACCTGATGCAAATGGTTCGGTGGGATCACTTGACCTGTCTTGTTCCTCTCAGGACTCCTCCACAAATGAGGCCATGATATTTAATCTCAGTCATTCCAGAGGCTTGCAAGAAGCTGAAAATGTCTTTTCAGCACATGCAACCAGCCACAGGGTTCCTGAGAGCATATTCCAAAAAGAGCCCCCTCTGCACACACACACCCCACATTTTGTAATGAGCTGAAACATCCATATAACTGCTCACCGTAATCCCAAGACCTTTATCCTGAACAACTTCCAATGATGAGTAGGTTTGGGAAAGTATGGGGAAATTTAACCCATTTCAGTCTTCAGTCCTTAACAGATGCATATATTATAGAAACAGCAAACAGGCGTGGTGTGGGTAAAAAGGATCACTTTGGAGGATAATTTGAAATGGAGAAATGATGGGAGAGAAGAAAGCTTTAACAGCTTGTATGCTGCAGCTTTTACAATCCTTGGTCTTCAAATGATCTTTCGAATAAGGGCACAAATTCCTACTTATCTAAATTTGGTACTAATCTGCCCTTAGAATATGGGCTACTTTGTTTTGTTCGCTTTGTTTTGCATCTTCCCCATCATTTATTATCTATTTATGCAAATGTTTTTACATGTGAGGAAGATTGCCAGTTAATAATGGTAATGTGATAAAAAAAACCCACCTCATTGCCTTTGTTGAGATTTAAATCCTACATCAGTCCATCCATTCAGTGCAGCTCCTGAATGCTTATACCTTAATAACATTTGTTGGAAATTGTATTATTAAATTTCTGATTTTAGGTCACCATACGCCAATGTATCTTAATTGTCCTAATTTTAAGATGTATGACTTCAACTTCCAGGATTCTCCAGCCAGCATGGAGAATTCTGGAAGTTGAAATCCACATACCTTAAATTCGACCAAATTGAGAAGCACTACCATAGAGTAAAACAGCTGTCCTTCTATGATACATTTGCATCAGAATATCAAAAGGGGTAGGAGTGAAGGAGGGCAGTACTTTAGGTAAGGGTTGGGATTCCAATTGGAGGCCCTGTTTCTTTTTTTTAGTTTGTTTGTTTGTTTTTAGAGGAAGCTTGTCATTTTTGCTCCCTGGGCAACAAAGCATGGGATCATGCCAGAAAGTCACTTAGTGGCCAACTAATAACAGCTTCATTTGGATTTGCTTTCCATGCAAATCTATCAGTTACCATGTTTCATAACATGGAGGAGACACTTCTGGACAGAAGCCTGTATGTGGTTCAGGGAGGAAGCTCTAAACAGGCCTGGAAGAACGGCTTTTCCCTGAACAGAAGGGACTGGTTTCTGTTCATTGTGCTTTTTGTTTGCTTTAATTAATTTATGTTATCAGATGAAACTTAAATAACTTAACACAGACTTAGTAGGCATAGGTTTAGGGAAGGGAGCCAGAGCATTGCAAAAAATTTTAATCATATTCAAGTGACTCTAATAAATATTTGCATTCACACATTTTCACACTGAGCATCAAAGCCCAGCCCGTGGCTGCTGTAAATAAAGATCAGGAAGGAAGGAAGGAAGGAAGGAAGGAAGGAAGGAAGGAAGGAAGGAAGGAAGGAAGGAAGGAAGGAAGGAAGGAAGGAAATTTATTACTCACCTTCATGGGAATGATTTGATTGCTCTCAGTTCCTGCTAGCAGGAATGAGAGAGACTGAGCAAATCAGTAAAGGCAGTCCTGGATAGTCTGCGTTTTCTTCCAATAAGAAAAGAAAAGTTGTTTATGTCTCCCTGCAACAGGAAACATATTGAATTAGTTCCACTTATTTAGGACAGCATATCAAAGAAAGTTTGATGCTTCTGGCTCTTTAGAGAAGAAGAGAAAAAAACCCTGCATTTATAGCTGAAATGGAGCAGATTTCCAACTATGGTTATTCCTGCAAAATGGCTAAATTTCTAAAGGTTTCCCATTCGTAACTCGAAAATTTGTGGGAGTGAATCTCGTACCTCGAACAAGATCACTCCCTGCTTGTTAAGACCCATGCGGCTTGTTAAGTGAACATGAGGTATCTCATGGAGGACCTAGTGATGGAACAGGCCCCCAAGGCCTCCCCGACCCACTAATATACCTCATGCTTCTCTCTTCCTTCATGCTGCGCTGGACTCACCTTGAAAAGATCCATCTCCTCTCTGCCGCAGTTCCTGCTGCCACCCAGATCAGAGGCTGGGGGATGCTTCTGTGTGCCTCTGGAGGCCGGATCCGGGTGTTGGAGGCCTTTTCCAGACTGCTGCCACCCGGAAGTGAGGCCAAGGGACACTTTTGTGTGCCTCTGGATGCCCGATTTGGGCATTGGAGGCCTTTTCCAGGCTGCTGCCGCCCAGATCTAAGGCTGGGGAATGCTTCCATGGCCCTCTGGAGGCTGGATCCAGCCTCCAGAGGCACGCAGAAGCGTCCCCCAGCTTTAGTTCCATTCTCTGTTGCAGAGAACAGAGGCCTAAAGTAGCATGAGATCATGTGAGATCAGTAGCATGAGATCTTGCACCATTGATCTCATGTGATCTTGCATTACTTTAGGCCTCCATTCTCTGTGAACGCACCGAAGGCCTGGAGCAGCCAAGAAAGTGAAGGATCTCGATCTTTGCAGGGTGAGTATTGAAGGCCTAGTGCCTAGGGAGACCCGGGGGGGGGGGAAGGAAGAGAATAACCAGGGTGAATGTTTGCAGTGCCACTGTGGTCACTTGTAAGGATGAACGACTGCCGTGGTACGGCAACATTCATAATTTTAGGATTTGCTCGTAAGCACTAGGGGGTGTTTATCGCGTGACTTTGAACATTCACTAAGGGAATGCTTGCAACTCAAGGATTACCTGTACCATTTCAGACAAATGGTTGTCCAATCTCTTCTTAAAAACTTACAGTGTTGGAGCATTCACAACATCTGGAGGCAAATTGTTCTATTTTATTGTTTATTGTTCTGTTAGGGAATAATTTATTGGCTAATCCTATATCTGTTATATAGTAAACAGAGGTGTAAAAGAAGATGTGCAAGTAAATGCTACAAAACACCTTCAAAGAAAATGACGTTGCAAAGTGACATTGCTCTGTTTAGGTCCCAGGGATTGTAACTGGGCCTTTCAACACTGCTCTGTGATAACCTTTGCAAACTTCAGACACTAAAAATGAATTTTGAGAACTTTTTTTTGCAGCCAATGAGTATCAATATGCTAGATCTGCTTTTACATCTAAAGTTATTTATATTTTATTTAAAAAAAACTATTCAGTGGTATGACTGTGGCCGAAATGCTTCCTTTTCTTGAGTGCTTTCAAATCTTGAAAATGTTATTCAGGGATGGTTCACCACTTTCCAAGTGGTGAAAGCTGTGGTCAGTGTAAGCTGTGAAGATTTTGAAGTCCACATTGTTGCCTCTGTTGGCACTTTCTCACTACACAATAACCACAGCATGGTTTGCTGAGCTGGGCTGTGCATGAACATGCATTCATGGTTTAGAAATAGTTATTCTGTGGGCAGCTAATTGCTAAATGGGCGGCCATGGGTTTTTTTTTATGGGCTTACAACTCATCAGCTATTGTGGCATCTTACCCCGATGCTTTGGTTAGTATTTCAAGGGGCTGCCCAAACAGGTAGCAGGGTAGCCGAAAAGTAAAAAACCACTCACAACTCTTGCTCTCGTGCTTTGTTTACTTGTCAGCAGGCATGCAGGGGTTGATTTTTAAAAGCAAAGCAAAAAAGAGGAATGATTAGTATTTCTCCAACCCACCCAGAGTGAATACCATATACTTATGGTTAATTGCAAAGAAAGAGAAACTGTATATGATTGTTTGCTTTTGTTACTTCACTCACCCCTGCCAAATCAGTTAGGATACCTGCTCTCAGTTGCCCCACAACTACTGCTGGTGGAGTGCAGCCAAGCTCCCCCCCCCTTTATTTGTTTGCTGATACATTTATTGCATTGGATTAAGAGCTACTCAACTCTGAAACAACACTGGGTGGCTTACATCACAAAACTAAGAAAAAAAATGAAGAAAAAAACACGTACATCTGGAAAAACAGTCCAATACCTAGAAAAGAAACTAACGGGGGCTTAACAGTTACCCTAACCCCAGGCTTGGGAACAAAGCCAGGTTCTTAAAAGATTTGTGCAACTGTTGTAGGTTAGGAAACAAACAGCTCTCCAGGGGAATACTGTACATAAGTTCTCCCACTTACGGTTAGCTCTAATGCAAATGGGATCACTCATATTGAGTTTGGCTGGGAATTCTGGTAGATGTAATCCCAGCACATTTCAGGGCTGCCTAACTGAGGCAGATTGGGTTTTCCTGTTTGAAATAACCATCGCAAACCAGTAGCTACTGGGTTTTAGTTCCACTATGGAACTATTTGGGTCATTTTAAAAAATATAACTGTCATGAGTATGCCCCAATTTATAATCATGGTTGCTTTAAAAGAATAGGGTTAAATGCATGCCCTGAAATAAATTTGGGAATATTTTTTCTGATCACTATTAATCTGCTGTTTCTGTAACCAAACACATATGTTTGTTTATCCGATTAAACAGTTAATGATCTCAAAATTGATTGCTGGAAGTTGTATCATCCTAAAGACATTTCCGTCACTGTTTCTGGGATCTGTCTTATGTTGCAGTCTGTAAAAAAAAAAGCTTTGTATTTATAATTTTAATTTCTTGCAGATTTCATCTCAACAAGCAATCAAAACCCATATTTTAGAAGAGTGAGGTTTGATGTCTCAGCAATGGAGAAAAATGCTTCCAACTTAGTGAAAGCAGAATTTAGAGTCTTCCGCTTACAGAATCCAAAAGCTCGTGTATCAGAACAACGGATAGAACTGTATCAGGTAAAGCGTTGATTATTGCTGCCCTTTTAGGTTTTTTAAATATGCAACATTTTTCTATAGCACATTTAGACATGGTAGAGTTAAATAGATAGTAATATTCATTCTCTCTTCTTTGGACCCTTGAGAAATGTAGTTTATGAGAAGAGATCTCAGGCTCTGTACAGAGGAATCTCATTCATTAAATTTATCAATCCCAGGTTTGCAGAAAGAAAAAAAATAACAATATAAAGTTAACTTAAAAATGTACATTATACTTAAATTTACTTTAATGTCTGCTTTCTAAAGGCATGTATAAATTACAGTAGTTTTTATTTTTATTAGGAGCTGATTGCAATCCATTTCAAACTATATATATAAAAGAAGGTTTACTGTACTGAATTATTATAATTGCATCTCTTGCTTCTGATCCCTCTTTTTTTAGATTTGCTATGTGAGTCAGGAAGAAGTAAATTTTCCAGGCCAAAAGCCATGTTGTGGACCTCATTCCAAAAAACAGGAATGAGACTAGGACAAAAAATAAAAGTGATTTCATTTCATTTACATTTCATTAAAATTACAATAGATAACATGATTAATCTGAAATTGATTGATAATTCTTCTCCTTTGCTATATTAAACATTACAGATCTGTTACCTCAAACTTTAGTGACTGGGCGTTCCAGTTTAAATTAAATTGTGGTTCTGTTAAGGAAGAAAATCAAAATCCTGAAGCTACAACAGACAAGGTGTCAGTTTTCTTATTTTACCAGTGTGAGAAGAAAACATAATTTGTAACTTACTGGAATGATCCAAGCAATATATGCTCCTTCTTCTGTTACTCCTGTTGCCACAATAAGATTTAGGGCTAAAAAATAATAAATACACATAAATGTCATATTTATTGACATTCACAAGGGCTGGGTCTAGATACACTTTTACTCAGTGTGTCATACTGACTCTAAGATGTATAAACATGTTTATCATTACAGTGTTTCATCTTTTTTAGAAGCAAATCCAGTTCAGCACAGTGCAGCTTATTCTCAAATAAATCAAGCACAAGATTGCAGCTTTACTTTGTAAAAAATATGACAGTCCTGGGTGGAGTACTTCTCATCCTCAGTGACCCCACCTGACCTCATTTTGTCTTGCTTCAATTGATGCTGTTTTGTGTTCCATGGAGTTAAAGCCAGGAGCTTGTTTTATTTTGTTTCTAACTGCTCAGTGCCAGCAAGCTCTTTTTATGCTCTTTTTAATTCACTTGCAGCTTCATATGTAATCTAGTTAAATCAACTTGCTCAGATTTAAGGCCGATTAGTTCCACTGAAGCCAGGGGCACCAATCTGGTATACATATTTGTATTTCCAAGTAATCTATGCTAAAGTTGTTGTTGTTTTTTTTAAAAAAAATATTCTTTTGTTTTAGTCATCTAGCAAATTTCTGTAAAGTTAGGCCCTGAGATGAATACTTAACATTAAGATCCAGCCTTAATAGATTTTCATTCTTAACTTATTTTTGCTACTGAATTAGATTTATAGATTGCCAAATCCAAAGACCGTAGCCAGGTTACACAGTTAAAATAGCATACAAATACAATATGAAAACTACATTGATAAACACAGCACATTGGGGGGAAAATACACTTAGATACTAATAAAACTATAAAACTTCTGCACTGCACCATTCAGTTGGAAAGCCATCAAGAACAAGGGCTTTTCCCAATTTCATAGCTGGGATTGTCTCTGCAATTTCCTGTTATGGTTGTCCCAATTTCCTTTCATATTTTTGATGGATCTCTTCTGTTTAATTTGTTCCCCCAGTTTAGTAATTTGCTGTTCAGTTATAGAGGTCTCCAGTTTATATAAATGAATTTTTAAAAAACCATAAAAATAGTATGGTCCAGTGGTTAAATCACCAGGTTACAAACCAGGAGGCTGAGTTTTTAGTCAAGCCTTAGGCATGAAAGCCAGCTGGGTGACTTTGGGTCAGTTTATTCTCCCTCAGCCCAGCTCACCTCAGAAGGTTATTGTTGTGGGAAAAGAGAAGAAAGAGGAAGAAATACTAGGTATGTTAGCTGTCTTGAATTACTACAGGTAATCCTTAACTTATGACCACAATTGAGCCCAAAATTTATGTTGCTAAGTGAGAAATTTGTTAAGTGAGTTTTGCTGCATTTTGCAACTTATCTTGTCACATTTGTCAAGTAAATCACTGCAGTTGTTAAATTAGTAACGTGGTTGTTAAGTGAATCTGGTTTCCCCCTTTGCTTTTGCAAAGGTGATCACATGACCCCGGGACACTGCAACTATCATAAATATGAGTCAGTTTTCAAACATGTGAATGTAAATCACGTGACCATGGGGATGCTGCAATGGTCATAAGGGTGAAAAATGGTCATAACTCACTTTTTTCAGTACCGTTGTAACTTTGAATGGTCACTAAGCAAACTGTTGTAAGTTGAGGACAACCTGTATTTTAAAAAGACAAGATTAAAAAAAAAACCTAAGAATTTCTGGCTCAGCATTGTAACAGGCCATTCTTTGCCTGAGTTGCCAATGAGGTTTTGCTGTTGTTTCTGCCTGTGAGTCCATAACTTGTTAGCTTTCTTCTCTAGATCTCCAGTAATTCCAATTAACAGATAAAACTACTTTAAAAGCTTGGGGGAGGGGAGGAAATAAAATGATTAAACAATCTCAAATATCCAACGTCTCTTCCTTTGCTTAGAAAAATGGTTGCCAAATTCAGGAATTACTGGAATTTAATCATATAAAAGGTTGAATGTTATGGGAATCTCTTTGAATACATATCCTCAGTAGCATTTTTGTTGATTTCATGACATCTTTACTTTATTAAGAAACTTCTTGCGTAGAAAGAAAAATAAACTCTGACACATTTCTAGTTTACAAATAGGCATTTGAAAAAGAAATAGGCATTGTGACACGGAAGGCAAGCAAAGAGCGGAAGTAGGGTGAAACATGCTCTCATTTTGAATGGTTGTAGCAGTTTATTTTTATGGTAGTTCATTAGCTACTATAAAGTTATAGTAGACATATTCTATAGTCTATACAAACTATAAAACAAGCGTGGGTTCGAGTGATTTTCCATGGCAACAATGTCATGTTTTGATAGCACATGAAGTATCATGAAAAATAGAGCCAAAATTCTGGGTTTTACTGCTGCTCTTATCAGGGCCTTTAGCATACCTAGATACTTGATAAGCTTGTGGAAGGAATGGAATGTACCATACCACACGGAAAAGGAGAAGGAAAAGGTTCTAGATGGCAGGTGCTGCAATAGTCTATTGCATCCCAATAGGTGGTATTGTTTAATTGAGGGGGCCAGAGGCATATTGATTCAGATGGGCAGGAACCATGGGAGATAGGAGGAGAACCTATGCCATGAAAAGCTTTATAGGTGTTAGTCAACACCTTGAATTGCACCTGGAAGCCTAATGGTGACCAGTGCAACTCAAGAAGTAATAGTCTCATATAAACGTACTGTGGGATTACCAACATTGCTTGTGCTGTTACATTCTGGTTCAACTGCAGCTTCCATAGAATTGCAGCTTCTATAGAACTAGAACAGCATCATATAGAAGGCCAACTCTGTGGTGGCTGAAGCATGAGTGATAGTCTAGAAGGCCTTCTGATCCAGGAACAGACACAGCTGCCACACTAGATAAAGTTGTGCAAGGGCCCTCTTGGTCGCAGCTACCATTGTTCATTGAACAGGAGCTGCGACTTTAAGATAACCCTCAGACTGCGTACCACTGTTGAATGGGGGAGTGAAACCCCACCCAAACTGAAGATGGAGACAACCCAAATCCAGAGTCTCCCCAAAACTGCATCCACTCTTAATGATAGTAGATAATACACAGGGCTTTTTTTCTCATAGAACGCCCAGAACAGAGTTCCGGCACCTTTTTTGGATGGAACCTTGTAGGGTAGGCAAAGTGGGTTATATGACATGTGTGAGTTCCGGTACCTTTTTTTTTTTTTTTAGAAAAAAAACACTGATAATATATGTGACATAGAACAGAACAGAATAGAATAGAATAACAGAGTTGGAAGGGACCTTGGAGGTCTTCCAGTCCAACACTCTGCTCAGGCAGGAAACCCTATACCATTTCATACAAATGACTGTCTAGTCTCTTCTTAAAAACTTCCAGTGTTGGAGCATTCACCGCTTCTGGAAGCAGGTTGTTCCACTGGTTAATTGTTCTAACTGTCAAGAAGTTTCTCCTTAGTTCTAGGTTGTTTCTCTCTTTGATTAGTTTCCATCCATTGCTTCTTGTCCTGCCTTCAGGTGCTTTGGAGAATAGCTTGACTCCCTCTTCTTTGTGGCAACCCCTGAGATATTGGAACACTGCTATCATGTCACCCCTAGTCATTCTTTTCATTAAACTAGACATACCCAATTCCAGCAACCGTTTTTTTATATGTTTTAGTCTCCAGTCCCCTGATCATCTTTGTTGCTTTTCTCTGTACTCTTTCTAAAGTCTCAACATCTTTTTTACATTGTGGTGACCAAAACTGGATGCAGTATTCCAAGTGTGACCTTACCAAGGCATTATAAAGTGGTATTAACACTTCACGTGATCTTGATTCTATCCCTGTTAATGCAGCCTAGCATTGTGTTGGCTTTTTTGGCAGCTGCAGCACACTGCTGGCTCATGTTTAAGTGATTGTCCACTAGGACTCTGAGATCCCTCTCACAGTTACTACTATAGAGCCATGTACCACCTATACTATACTTGTGCATTTGGTTTTTCTTACCTAAATGTAGAATCTTACTTTTTTCACTACTGAATTTCATTTTGTTAAGATAGAGCCCAGTATTCACATCTGTCCGGATCCTTCTGTATCTTAAGCCTATCTTCTAGAGTGTTGGCTATTCCTGCCAGCTTGGTGTCATCTGCAAGTTTGATGAGTTCCCCATCTATCCCCTCATCCAAATCATTGATGAATATGTTGAAGAGTACTGGGCCTAAAACAGAGCCTTGGGGTACCCCACTGCATATTTCCC